GCTGTCATTGCACAGACCGCTTCTGATCCTCTGTCTCCCTCTCTCTCTCTCTGCACCTCTTTTGCATTCTCACTCTCTCTCAAAAATAAATAAACATTAAGAAATAAATAAATAAGATACATTGGGGTAAGAGAGAAGGGGAGAGACTATTTCCCTTGGGGCCCTTTATCAGTCTGTTAATAAGCATTACCCTCTATTTCCAGGGTCAGGATTAGGCTTTGCTCTCAAGGGAGGGTTAAACATTGAGGCCCAGAAAATTGCTTGAGAAAAAGTGGAAAGGAGCTCCTCTGTATTATGATAAAGAGAATTCTAAGACTGAGCTCTGAGCAGACTTAGCTCTACCTAGTTCATTTGGTTATTTCTATCTTTCTTCCTTTTTTTTTTTTAAGTTAATTTATTTTGAGAGAGAGAAAATCCCAAGCAGGTGTCACACTGTCAGCATGGAGCTCCCCACAGGGCTCAGTCTCATAAACCATGAGGTCATGACCTGAGCTGAAATCAAGAGTCAGATGCTCAACCAACCGACTAAGCCACCCACGCACACCTCTCCTTTGTTATCACCTAACTTACATAAATAAATACACGTATTCATCTTTTCCTCCATCCTTCCCTTCTTGCCATCCTTCCCTCCCTCCTTCTCTCAAACAAGTAAATAAACAATATAGCACAGTGAAAAGAAACCAGGTTTTCTAGACAGGCAGATGTACATTTGAATTCTGACTCTGGCTCTTCAGAGCTGTGTTACTGTGAGAAAACTACTCAACCTCCCTGAGCCTCCACTGTTCATTTGTGTGTGGAAAAGAAATGAGGACAAGATCATGGTGAGGATCAAACGCAATAGGATAGTGTGTGCTTCATGACTGGTACTTAAAAAGTGGCAAGAATTGGTATCCCCTGTTGGCACACATTGCCTTGCCATAATTTTCTCTGGTTCCTCTCAATTATTCATTGCCTCTTCATTGGTTTTGTTTTATATTTTTCTCTGTGTATTTCTGGTCCTCTCTTGTATTAAAAGCCAATATCTCGCTAGCAGTTTCCAGAAGCAAATTTCATCTTATTTCTAATAAATGTGTCCATTTCTCTTCACAGTGGATTGCTTGCTGAACAACATCCCAAACTTCTCTTTGACCTGATGCCCATCATATGGATAAAACCAAGTAAATATATTCCTAACAAAATTTCTGAGAGTTTTAAGAAGGATAATGGTAGACATTTTTAATGGCCCCCCCAAATAAGTCTCTGCTCAAACTTCTTAAGACTTTGTTCAGTAACAGTAAATTGTGACTTAGGGACACCTGGGTGGCTCAGTTGGTTAAGTGTCCGACTTCAGCTCAGGTCATGATCTCACCGCTCATGAGTTAGAGCCCCATGTCAGGCTCTGCTGACAGCTCAGAGCCTGGAGCCTGCCTCAGATTCTTTGTCTCCGCCCCCCCCCTCTGCCCCTCCCTTGCTCACGCTCTGCCTCTCAAAAATGAATAAAAAATATTTTTTAATAGTGACTTACTGTTTACATCAGGAATATATTGTTCCCCCGCTTTGTGTTGCATTCATATTATTTCGGGAATATCATTCTGCCCCTTTTTGCTCTTATCCCAAGGGATGTAACATTTTCTCTGCCCCTCCCCCGCACTTCTACTTTTCCAGAGTCCAGGGCTTCCCATCAGTATTTTGATTCTGAAGTGCCTTTGCACACCTCTCAGAGACACGTAGGCTTGACACCACCTCCAGTCAGTGGCTAGTCTTCTGGCTACGAGAAACTCCTTGGCCTAGGAGCCAGCCAGGTGCCCGCAGGCATAGATGCTTCAAGTCACAGGGGGGTGGGGAAGCCAACTCTGCCCTCCTGGGAAAGACGACTCCTTCCTTCCTCCCGCTGTCATAATTTTCTCACAAGTCTGAACAAATGAGGTTCATTCTTTTGTTTTTTCTTCTCTAGTTTTTTGTCCTCGGATAACTATCAATGGAAACATTTCCAAGCCATCCACAATCACCACCGAACCCATTAAATATTTTTATTTTTAACACAGTTCATTTATGAGAAATGTGGTCTTAGTTTAGAAAGATTCCTAATACCTCCTATTTGACTTTTCAAGGATAATATACAGATTCTTTCCATGACTGGGTAAGAGTTGCTGTGTTTTTCTGAAAGCAAATAGTAAATTCCGCTTCTTCTGATGTATGCGTTTCTTGTATTAGGGCTGGAAGCTGCGGAGTCTCTATGTCAGGGGCATCATCTGGGCTGGATTTTAGTACTTCTTCCCTACCTTCTCCTCCTCTCCCAAGTCCTCTGGAGTGTTTTCATGCCAGCTAAATCATTCGAACTTAGAATCAATTCCTGTCCTCTAGCCCTAGAACCAGGCCCCGTATGAAGTCACTCGTCTTGTTCACAGCCATTATTATATCCCAACTGTAAACGACAATAATAACAGCACTGAAGTGTTCAAATACCATAATCATGATCTTAGATTTAGTATGGAAAAAAGTTGTTCTTTTAGTACCAATGGCTGTTTTCCCTTGACTAAATGAATGTCTGTCTGTCTTTTCCAAGCTAAAAAGACTGAGATTGTGAAGTCAAATGCCTACACCTGTCCCCTTTACAAGACAAGTGAACGTAAAGGAACTCTCTCCACTACAGGACATTCTACCAACTTTGTTATTGCAATGTTGTTAAAGACGGACCAACCCACTCAACACTGGATCAAGCGTGGGGTTGCCTTGCTTTGTCAGCTGGATGACTAAATTGGACAAACTTAAGAAAACATCTGAAAGAAGTAAAAAAGAAAGTCTATGTCGTCTTCACTTACTTCAAAATACACATGTTATAAATCAAGTATCTGCGTGTCATTTTTTTAAATGGTCTTTGCACCGTTCTCCTCCCTGGTGTACCACCCTTGACTGCAATACAGCCTGCTAGAAAACGTGAAGAGAAATGTTTCTTGAAAGCACATGAAAAGTCTTTGAGGGGTACCTGGGTGGCTCAGCGGGTTGGGCATCGGACTGTTGATTTCGGCTCACGTCATGACCTCACAGTTAGTGCATTCGAGTCCCACGTTGGGCTCTGAGCTGATGGTGTGGAGCCTGCTTGGGATTATGCCTCCCTGTCTCTCTGCCCCTCCCCTGCCTGTTCACTCTCAAAATAAGTAGTTTTTTAAAAAAGAAAGAAAAATCCTTGAAACGTTTTATATGTATGTGAAAGTCATATTTGGGGAGACTAGCCAAATAAAATTTTTTAATTTTTTAAAGTTTTTTATTCATTTTTTGAGAGACAGAAACAGAACATGAACAGGGGAGGGGCGGAGAGGGAGGGAGACACAGAATCCAAAGCAGGCTCTGACAGGTCAGAGCCTGACGTGGGGGCTCAAGCCCACAAACCGCAAGATCATGACCTGAACCGAAGTTGGCCAGTTAACTGACTGAGCCACCCAGGTGCCCCACTGGATAAAATTTAATACCAGAAAAAATCTGTTTTCACAAGTGTGAAGCCATTTCTTCAGCTTCAGGAGAAGTTCACTTTCCACTCACCTACTAGAGGTGGTTATAAATAAGGAAAATATCAAAACAATTCCAGAAGTAACCCCTTACATCATACTTTTACAACATCAGCCCCATTTCTCACAGTTCGCCTGTGAGGAGGGCAGGAAGTATACATACAGAGGCAGTAAGGTGGCTGGCGGGACTGTCCACCCTCCCCCCCAGGGTGTAGTGTGTTTCTGGGCATTTGCTTCATGTTTAATTGGAAATGCCAAGTGTCTCTTCATTATTTTTAATAGTTAATGTTCATAATATTAGTATAGATTTTCGACTTTGAAACATTTCAACAATACAAAATTATAGTTGAAATTTTATTATCTTGTATGTGGAATTAATTCCATAGGATCCCCAGGACACTTTAGGCTGTAGCTCTGTAACCCAAAGAAAATGTAGGTGCACCTACCCAGTGAATCAGGTCTATGGGGACAGTCACTTTGATAAATAGGTCAGAGGAAAATGGCCTCTCAGGTGAAAAATTGATTCTGGTCTGCAGCGGCCTGTGAGAATGAATTCACGTCACACAGCCAACCGCTTGCAAAAGCATTTTATACCAGAATAAAATGTTTAGTCCTTTAAATTTGATGAATATAGCAATGAAGAGAAGAGATCATGTTTCCAAATAGAGCTAAACCCCACACAGAAAACAGGAGAATGTGCCAGACTGTCTTATGATCAAGTATTTATAGTAAAGCTATTAATAGAATGGTCACTACAGGGGGAGTGGAGATCCTAAATAGAAATGAAAATCCTGACGTGCTAATCTTACAGTGAAAACTCCCGGGCTCTCCTAAAGGATATAACAGAAGGTAAACATCTTGGTATGTGTTCGAACCTATTCTACACTAAAACAGAAATGCTTTTTAAACAACGAAGTTATTGCCTAAGAAAATACATTGTTTTTTACTACCACTATTCCTGTTCTGTTGTTATTATGAGAGTGCATATATTCCTATAACATGTTTATTTTTAATATTTACTATGTCAGCATAAAGATGTGCTTTTGGGTGAGGGCTGTAATCACTGAGAAAAAACTCATAAGCCAAGTTTAAAATCATTACTTTCATAGTGAAAATGGCACTAACCTAAGTTTTATACGAAACGCTGATTTTCCTAAGTAGGCATTAAGTAAATGGCTAATCATGGACATTTCTAATTTATACTGAATTTGTGGCAGTTCAGAAAATTCTTTTGAATTTATGGGAAGAATATATAATGAATACTTTTTAAAATTTTGCATTTGCTTTATCACTCCTATCAATTTTATAGTTTTCTGAATTTCATTTGTAATTCAGAAAATTCTTTTGAATTTATGGGAAGAATATATAATGAATACTTTTTAAAATTTTGCATTTGCTTTATCACTCCTATCAATTTTATAGTTTTCTGAATTTCATTTGTAATGAAACTGATCATCTTTTCATAACTGGAAAAATATTGTCAATTGATTAACTTGAAATCTGTCAGCGTCTCATATGGATAATTATGCCAGTGACGAAGACACAGACGAGGACTTTGATACCCAGCTCATCATCCAGCAGAGCTTACAGGACTCTCACAAGCTGGGAACTACACAGCATGCACCTGCAGATGACAGGTAATGGTATCTCCCTGGTAATGTCCTGTAAGGATTCAACAGCTGAGACTTGTCATTACATAAGGCTGTGAAAGACTAGAGAACTCTAATGCAGCCTGTCTTTGGCGAGCCAAGGAAGTTCATAAATCTAACCAACACACACAGAAAACTATCAACCTTAGTGGGAGATAGTGTAAGGTCCAGTCTTTTGATTCAGATCAAAAGGAGGAATCATGTAAACTTAAACCTCAGAAGAGACTCACCCTTTCAGAATTGTGTAATGACCCCACTAGAAAAGGACTCTGCATGTCCCTCAGTGATGTAAGAGTCGCCCTGGAGGCGGAATGTCCACAGCCGAGCACACCTGCTCTAATGCTCTCTGACTGATCTGCAACCTCACCCCCAAGTACTTACTATTTTCAGGGGTGACAAACCCCGTTTGCTTGGAATGGTGACTTCTATTTGCCTGCTGGAGGTAAAACTGGACAAATGTGTTTTAGCTCTAAGAGGCTTTATAACTAGAGATGCTGAAATACATTAAACCTATACTTTTTTTTTTAAAGTAACAACCTCTTGGAGTGATCACTTTGTTCTGCACTATTTTTAAGCATTTCATAAATATTGCCTCATTTATATTTTAATTCTCATTACCTTTCTATGTGGTAAGTACTGTTATCCCCGTGTAGAAATGAGGCAACTGAGGGACAGGTGTTACCCAAGCTCTGGGAGAGGCAGGCAGTCTTGCTTCAGCATCTCTTTACCACGCTATTCCTATACTTTTGTGTTACATTTATGAATAATCTTTAAAATCACCTTTGAATAAAGTTTTGTAAAGAAATTGGGTTTAGGGGCACCTGGGTGGCTTCAGTCGATTGAATGTCCAACTTCAGCTCAGGTCATGATCTCAGTTTGTGAGTTCGAGCCCTGAATATGCTCACTGCTGTCCGCGCAGAGCCTGCTTTGGATCCTCTACCCCTCCCCTGTGCTTGTGCTCTCTCTCTCTCTCTCACTCTTACTCAAAAAAAAAAAACAATTGGGTTTATTAGATTATCTGTTATATTAAACTTGTGATTAAAACTTTTTAAGTTCATTCAGTAATTAAGTCACGATTTTAGGTTGAAAAGCATAAGATTTTGATGACTGAAATATTTCACAGAAATTAAAATTGACGATAGTTGTAGACTTCAGTTATTAGACTTGCAAGAATTGTATGGAACTTAGGAAGGTTTGCTGACTTGGTCGCGCCCTCTCCCCAAGGAAGACAGACATGGGAGACTGGTGTCCCTGGAGCATGTTTAGGGTCACATTATATTTTGGAAGTATTCCCATTAAGCCTCATTGTAAGAGTTCATCCTTTGTTTACTACTACTGCCTTTACCCTCTCCTTGTGGTTTTTTGTTTTTGTTTTTTTAATCAAATGTCTTCCCTTTCCCTCAGTTTGGGGATTATATATATATATTTTTTCTCTGCAGTTCCCATTCCTTTGTGAGCGCTGACTATAAGAAGATAATCGAAACAATAGAGACAGTTAAGTACTCTTCCTATTGTATCCCCTCCAACTTGTGGTAAGATGTGATGCAAAGGGCAGCACCTCCCCTCTGGGCCGACGAAAGCCTAGAAGCAGGTTCTCCCAAATGCTCCATGCTGTAGGGTCCACCACTGATTCTCGAGAGCCTGTGAGAAAATACTGCAGCACAACTTAGCAAAGAGTTCCTAGGCTCCTTGGCGGACTGAGCTGTTTCTCTATAAGCACACGAGGGGTGGCCACAGGCCCAGGTGGTGTGCAACACTAGGCGAACATCTGCTTGCTTGTCCTATGCCATTTTAATGTGTCTCTCATGAAGGGCGGTGCTAGAACTCTGTTGTCTCGTGCACTAACCCTGATGGTGGAATCTGGAAGCGGTATGGGCTGCCTTGTGTGTGCCAAATGTGAAGCTGTGCCCATCTGACTTGTTAATAGGTAAGGAAGATGCATTGGCACGCTTGACCAAGTACCATTCTGCTTTCGATGAAGCAGACGGGATAGGCTGGCTTCCTCTGCATAAGGCTGCGGTGCAACTAAGTAAGAACATTTTGGAAATAACCCTGAAAGGTAAACTCCTTTTGTAACTCTTCCTGATGCTTCTGAGAAATAATTTTAAAATTTATCTCTGTATCTTAACCTGTGTTGTCTAATGGATTTACTGCAGCTTCAAAAGCCAGTGTGTGGGAGCAAACCACCCACAATGGGGAAACGCCACTTTTTTTGGCCGTCAGCAATTGCCTCTTAGAAAACGTCAGTTTTCTTCTTCTCAATGGCTGCAATCCGAATGCCAAGAATTCTGAAGGCAACTCTCCTCTTCTTACAGGTAAATTAATACTTTGTCTCTGGAAAACAGTCTGTCATTCTGCACGTCCTCAATCCCAGAGGTTTCAAAGGCAACTTTAAAAAATTTTTTTCTTAGTTTTTATTTTAATTCCAGCTAGATAACAGACAATGTTATATTAGTTTCAGGTTTCAGGAGTCCAATATAGTGACTCAACACCCGGTGCTCATCACAAGTGCATTCCTTAATCCTCATCACATTTCACCCATCCCCCTGCCCACCTCCCCTCTGGCAACATCAGTTCTCTATAGTTAAGAGACTCTTTCTTGGTTTGCCTCTTTTCTTCTCCTTTGCTCATTTGTTTCTTAAATTCCACAGATGAGTGAAATCATATGGTATTTGTCTTTCTCTAACTGATTTCGCCTAGGATAACTCTCTAGCTCCATCCACATCATTACAAACAGAAAGGCAGCTTTTTGTACATAGTTGGAGTGCTGTCATTCTGGTCCCAGCTGACCCATGTCATGGGTACCTGACCCTCAGTTTTCTATAGACTTGCCCTTGAGGTGGCCTGATGCAAAATCTCTGCCAACTGGCTGATCATTCTGCATGGTGTCTTAATCAATTTATTTATGTGTAAGAAATAGAAAAGGTGAGCAGAGTAGGGAGAGGCAGCCAATGGTTGGGTAAAGATGGCAGATTGAATACAAATGGCTAATTTCGCTCCCTCCTGAGGCTTCACTAAAATGATAGTTAAGAAATTGTTTTAATGAGGGAAGATACAAAAGAATGAGAAGAACAGGAGAGGAGACAACAGCAACACAGTTTTTTAAAAACCTGGAGAGCAGGTGGATGAGAAGTCAGTGACAAGAAAGCCAAATCTTAACTTGGCAGTGGGGAAAGCAGCACAATTATATCAAAAGGCTTGGAAGTTGTTGGGGGTGGTTACCTCATGGAGCATGGATGAAGGACAGGCAGCTAACAGAGGATTGGTTGAACACTATTAAGGAGCGAGTAGCCGGAGCAATAGATCCCTTCTCCCAACCCACCTGAATTCTGGACAAGGGTAGACAAGGGTAGGAGTACTGGATTGAAATACTGGAGGAATTAAGCAAACATAGGCCAAGACCTTCCAGCCCTCCTCTTCCACTAGGATTCTAGAAAGATGGCAATCAGAACTTTACCCTTCAAGAGGAGGCTTCTCTGGGGAATATGATATACCCAAAAAGAAAGAATTAAAGAGAGTGAAATTGGGGGTTCCCCAACAAATGGCCCAGGCACAGCCACATAGAGTTATGACCACACTCCAAGAGCCCCTCCCAACATTGAGGATTCCCAGTCAGCTTTTTTGTCTCCAACTCTTAATCATGAGCAGATAGCCAAGGACTATCTGAGAAAAGTTATCAGAGATAAGAAACTTGGAGGAGACAGACGATTTAGAGAAAATAAAATGTAGGGGGGAAATTATGATTAATTTTGAGAAATTAGTGAAAAATAATGAAATAATAGGACATTACCAAAAACCTGAACAAAACAGAACCAAAAATGCTCTTGGAAATTAAAAATATGACAGCAGAAATATAAAACTCAGAACAGAAGCTGGGAGATAAAGTTTAGGAAAGTTTCCAGAAGAAGATAAAAAATGGGAAATAAGAAAGAAAACGAAAAAAACTAGGACAACCTAAGAGGAGCAACACGTGATCTTAGAAATACTAGAAAGAGAAGAGACAACATGGAGGTGGTCTATCATCGTGAAATAAGTCAGGAGAATGATTTCCTAAAACACAGGACAGGTGTTTCCAGAATCAAAGGCCATACTAAATTGCCGGCTAAATGAGTTAAAAAAAAAAAAAAAAAAAAAAAGACCCAATACCCTTGGCACTCAATATTTCCAGTCCCACAGCACTTTCTATGGCACATTAGAAACAGTCACAGACAGAATTCACACTGATTCAACATCTGGCACCTAGCAAGATTCCTCATACACAGTGGTGCCAATAATTAACAAATGGATAGGAGGATTAAGTTGTTTCAGAATCTTGAAGGACTTAAAGGTGATCATCCAAATGTGAATAACAGCATAAATGTAGAAAAAAACAACTAGAAAATTTTAACAAAACACAAGGTTAAAAACCATACCCTAATTATTGTTTTTTTCTTTTTCTTTGTTTAAAGCACCTATGAGCATTTCTAGGACTATACTGGGTACTTAAGTTCCTATTTTCTTGAGGGAGGAACATAAAAATGATAAATGAAAATTTTTTTCATTTTCTTTAATTTTAATTTTTTAAAATGTTTTATTTAATTCTGAGAGAGAGAGAGAGAGAGACAGCGTGAGCAGGGGAGGGTCAGAAAGAGAGGGAGATACAGAATCCAAAGCAGGATCCAGGTTCTGAGCTAGCTGTCAGCATAGAGCCCAACGCAGGGCTCAAACCCACGAACCGTGAGATCATGACCTGAGCCGAAGTTGGATGCTTAACTGACTGAGCCACCCAGGCGACCCTGATAATTTTTATATGTTTATGTCTTTCATACACATAAGCAGCCAATAGACAGTAACTGTTCATGGCTTACAGAAAAGACAATAGGCTATTGATGTCAATATTAATATTATTTGATATATGCCTCATTTAACAGTGTGGTTTCTAGATACAAAATGCTGGCCCATGGGGGTAGCCAGGAAGAGCTCGTTAAGAAGCCTAAGGGACACTGGCTAATAAGATACTCTGGCCATAATTTCCCGGTGAACATTAAGACTACTTCACTTCCAACTTCCCAGCTGTTCTCCATGACTCCTACGACATGGCCTCCTTGCTGATCAGCCACGGGGCAGATGTCAATCTGCGGTGTACCAATGAGAGGACCGCTCTCCATGAAGCAGCCAAACTGGGCAGGCGGGACATAGTGAAGTTGCTGCTGGTTTCTGGGGCACACCCTGATCCACGGAGCTCCTACGGATTCACTCCTCTTGCTCTTGCTGCCCAAAGTGGATACACTGAAATCATGGAAATGTTATTGCAGAAAGGCAAGATTTTCTATACGGTCAGCACACCCCCAAGGGTTAATGTGATGCAAGCATCCTCCTTTACATGGAGAACTTCAAAATAATAGAAGTTAACATTTTATTTAAGCCTAACAGACGTCTGATGAAAGTGTGTGTTAATACTGGCTACTAAAAAGCCTAAACTAGAGATTGAATATTTCTCATTTGATGTGAAGTAATTTCCCTAAAATTACTAGGATGCCCAATACTCTTCTGCATAATGTTCCCCGACCGTGCTGAGGACGGTTGTTTTTCTTTTTTCTTTATTTCTGAGAGAGCGAGAGAGACAGGGTGAGCAGGGGAGGGTCAGAGAGAGAGGGAGACACAGAGTCTGAAACAGACTCCAGGCTCTGAGCTAGCAGTCAGCACAGAGCCCGACGCAGGGCTCGAACCTAAGAACCATGAGATCATGACCTGAGCCGGAGTCAGACGCTTAACCGACTGAGCCACCCAGGTGCCCCACGATGGTTGTTTTTCAAATTTTTTGCAGGCTGTCCTTTTCTAGATTCACAGAATGAAAGACCCACATTACCCCCTACGTGTTGTCACTGCTAAGTCATGAGGCAGTCCGATGTGTTATCAGATGCTTCCGTTGTTGGCAAGTTTTTCCTGACTGTCTCTTTGGGTCCCAGCTCTCCCTTTAGTAATAACCAAGACCCTGAGAGAAGGGGAAGGCAACGTACATTTACTGAGTACTTTCTAAGCACCAGGCATTAAGCTACCAATGCTGCCTCATGTGATCTTCTAAAACCCTAGGCAGTAGATATTATCCTCATTTTACACTTAAGGAAAGAGGGTCAGGGATGGTACCAGTTGCAGGACTTTCCTTTAAACGTGCCCTCTCCTGCCACCAAGTCAAGATCCTGGTTTTACTGGCAGAGTCCTTGGATCAGAGAACTTTGGCCTTTATGTCTTTGAGGAGGACCCTTCCCCCCCCCCCCCATTGATGACACTGTTAGGTGAAGCAATGTAGTATCTAAAGCTTTTTTTTTTTCCCCAAAGCAAATCTTTGCCAATATTAATGAAGTCCCAATATTAGAATTACCTTCTGTATTCTCCTTCCTGTTTATGTCCAGAAGCCTTATTTCTTTCTTTACCAATACACAGTCCTGGTCTCCAATATTCTAGACTACAGGAATTCCTATATTTAAGAACAACTTTCTGCTTTATAGACTTACCTGAAACTTTCCTATCATACAGGAGAGGCTGTTACAGTTTCCAATCAGTGGCCATAAGACATTTTAAGTAAGATGTTTTAAATGAGCAACAGCAGAGATGTCTAAGTCACTGGCTAGAATAACAAAAATAAACACTAGATCCTTCACGTAACAATAAGAGTAACATTTTGTATAGAACACTGATTAAAATATAAAGAAGAGACTTTCAGATTTTAAACCTTAAGTCTAAAGAAACCAGCATGAGTTGATCTGAATGAATATTTCCCTGCGGTAACTCCCTTATGACATAATTTGCACAAAGTGACATAACTAGTAAATGGCAGAGCCAAGGTCTGAACCACATCTGTCTCGTTCCAAATCATGTTACTTTACCACTCTGCATTACTAGAGTGGAAACACAGCATCATAGAAATAGGCCATGGGTCCGGCGTACCTGTATGTGAATCCTGACTACCTTGCTTACCAGCTGCGGGTCTCTGGGGAAGTCACTTAACCTCAATGAGCCTCAAGTTTTTTCATGTTTAAAATGAAGATACTAGTATCTGCTTGTTAGGGTTGTTGTGAAGTTTAGAAATTATGCACAGGAACCTGCACATAGTGAGCACTCATCCCATGGCAGCTTATTAGACACGTCTTCATGCATTCTAGGAGGGGTTCTCTGAGACAGCCACGGTATTCTGATGACTGTGGAGTCTATTTACTAATTTTAAGCCACTACATCTTTTTTATAAGAGCTGTGAATGTGCCCAGAATGTTCTCCTTTCCCTTTGTCCATTTTCAAAGGCTACTCTTTCTTCAAAACCCATTTTACTGGGAGGTCTTCTGCAACTGACCTAAACCTCCTTTCTTCACCATCCAGTTCCCCTCAAAATCCAGAACTGAGACCTTTGAGAGGACATTGGGCCCCCACTTGTACTCTTATTATCCACACCATCACATGATAGCATATTGGACACTACAATTTATCCTTTTAACTATGAGTCCCCAACTTCAAATGCAAACACCTACAGGTGTGTCTTACTATGAACACCCCCCCTAAAAACATTAAAAACAGAACACATGCCATTTTCCACCCTAACATCAACAGATGGCATGGTGTTACAGTCCAATGGGATTGTTGGTACCATCTTATACCTAAGGGTGGGGTAAGCGGACTTTAACAGGCTGGTCTGGAATCAAAATCTCCTTTGAAATTATTTTTCCTGGAAATTTCAAGCTCCAAACAACTAACTGAAAAAATGACCCTGAAAGAACCTACTTCTAACTTAGAGACTGCTTGTGCCATTTCTTCCTTCCCCAACTACATAATAAACTGGCTGAGAGCAGGCGGCACGTTTTTTAGTTCTTTGACTTCATAGTGCTTTGCTAAAGTGGCTCCTTAATAATTGCTTTTTGGTGGTGCTTATATATTAAGAATGCATATGCAATAGAGCGGAAAAGACTTTTCGCATAACAAGACTTTTTCTCCTCTTAGGAGCTAATGCTCTTGGTCAGGCCTCTGACTCTTCTTCCATCTTACTTGAAGCCGCCAGCGGAGGAAATCCAGATTCTGTATCTCTCTTGCTAGAGCATGGAGCTGATGCCAACATCCCTAAGAATTCAGGCCACCTTCCCATTCATGTGGCAGCTGACAGAGGCCACTTGTTGTAAGTTCCATTACATTGCTGCAAATAATAGAAACAGTCATAGCTATGGGTTTCTTTGGAGCAGCTTCTGGGAACTTTATATTCTTCTTCTCTGATCCTATACTTCCAACACCACTTTTAAAGATAAACTTGACCAGTTAGAAAGTGAAGTCAGGCATCCTCTGTAGCCACAGAAGAGACATAAAACTATTTTATTACGGTCTTCAGGCAATAAGGGGAACTCCAGGTCTCACTAGTTGGACTAATTCTGAGTTTTATATCTAGACAACAGTTTCATTTAACTTTACTAAGTATCTGAGCTTTTGCATGCAGGAATCATACGTTTTTTTTGGGTAAGGGGTTCTAAATGCTACCTGCTAATACCATCTGTACTAGTATAAAACAATCATAAACAGGTTAATACTGCATCTTAACAGAAACAATTTTTTAAATACCCTCTGAAATTCTTTCTCAGAGCCCTGAAGATTTTGGTTCCAGTTACGGATTTTGCTGCCATTAAGCAGAGTGGCATCAGTCCGGTCCACTGTGCAGCAGCAGGGGCACACCCCCACTGCCTGGAGCTCCTCATCCAGGCTGGATTTGATGTAAACTTCATGCTAGATCAGAGAATTCGCAAACACTATGATGACCATAGGAAGTCAGCTTTGTATTTTGCTGTATCAAATGGTGACCTCTCTTCAGTTAAGCTGCTTCTGGGTGCTGGAGCTCTGCCTAATCAAGACCCAGTTAACTGCCTCCAGATAGCCCTAAGGATGGGCAACTATGAGCTGATAAGTCTGCTGCTACGGCATGGGGCCAACGTCAATTACTTCTGCAGAGTCAACCCTTTACATTTCCCATCAGCACTGCAATATACACTGAAAGATGAAGTCATGCTCAGGATGTTGTTGAATTATGGGTATGACACAGAGCGATGCTTTGATTGTCCCCATGGAAACAAAGTTCATCCTTGCTATACTTTTGAAGGCTGGACATCTACAGTTATCAAAGACACTATGGTAAGTGCACAGTATTGTCTGTATCAACTTATACAATCATTATTAGTGGCCCTGGACTACAGCAAGAGAGAACTCCATCCATTCTCTCCAGAAGATCATAGTTCAAAAGATTTTTAATTTTTAAAGTTTATTTATTTTGAGAGAAAGGGAGTTAGCAGAGGGCAGAGAGAGTGGGAGAGAGAGAATCCCAAGCAGGCTTCATGCTGTCAGCACAGAGCCGGATGCAGGGCTCAATCTCATAAACTGTGAGATCACGACCTGAGCTAAAACTGAGTTGGACACTTAGCCAATCAACTGGGCTACCCCAGCACCTTGAAAAGATTTTAATATGATAAATATGTGGTAAAATAAACATGATAGTAGATGCAGAAATGGTTCAGAGGGAAGTGATTTAACTTTACCTAGGGAGTTTCACAAATGAACTAGCATCTGAGTCAAGTTTTAAAGAATGAATGTAGTGGTACAAAGCAGTTATGTTTTGTCGTTGAAGGGCTGAGTTATTGAGCTAAATGTTTCTAGGGTCCTAATACCTGTACCCTTTGGTTTTTGGCTATCTCTTTCAGGTCTAAAATTTGATTAAATAGGTTTCTTTGACCACTTTAAAAAAATTTTATAGTTTATTTATTTTTGAGACAGAGAGAGACAGAGCATGAGTGGGGGAGGGGCAGAGAGTGAGGGAGACACAGAATCCAAAACAGGCTCTGGGCTCTGAGCTGTCAGCACAGAGCCTGATGCGGGGCTCGAGCCCACAAACTGTGAGATCTGACCTGAGCCAAAGTCAAAGGCTTAACCGACTGAGCCACCCAGGTTCCCCTCTTTGGCCACCTTTTTAATGAAAAAGAAATCATAATAAATACAGTTGACTACCCTCTTCTTCTTGAGATGTGTTCCTCTTGTGATGTCTTCATCACACCAGTCTCCTATTTTCCCCCTAACTGGTCATTTCTATTTTCCCCAACTTGAGCTCACCCCCTACTTTTCAAAAAGCTGCCACTCTTCAAGTTTCATGTGTTACCTTCTCAAAAAGGCTCTTCCTTCCCCATCCATCTTATCTAAGGTCATTGTCTTCCCTAATCTTCTGATAATGCTGTTTCTTTTATAGAACTTACCACTTTCTGAAATTATCTTTTTAACATTTTACTGATTACATGTCTCCTCCACAAATACATCAGTGTAAGTAAGCTCTTCTTCACCACTTTCCTCAGCTTAGAGATCTGTGCTCAGCACACAGTAGATGCATGATGCACTATAAATACGAGTTCATATTAAAATCAAAACAAAAATTATATAGTGAAATGAAGAAAACACTTTGAGTCAATTCTGAAAAGTGAAGGCAACATATTAATACTGTATATTATTTTTAGGTTCTGATTAATGTAGGAATGGGCAATTAGGTATATATCATCTTGTATTATTTCCTTTTTTGTTTGTTTGTTTTATTTTTATTATTGAGACAGAAACAGAGCATGAGTGGGGGAGGCGCAGAGAGAGAGGGAGACACAGAATCTGAAACAGGCTCCAGGTTCTGAGCTGTCAGCACAGAGCCTGACGCAGGGCTTGAACCCATGAACCATGAGATCATGACCTGAGCTGAAGTCAGACTTCAGCTTAACCGACTGAGCCACCCAGGTACCCCGATTTCCTGACTTTTAAGGTAGTAGTATTTGACTTCTTACACGGGCATCTTGTCTGAGAGCATGTAAATTACCTACCGGCAGAAACTATCATATCCTTCAGGCATGAGGGTAGGGGTAGGTTGTGAATGACAGAAAACCCAAAATGAAAGTGATTTAAATAAGGTGGCTCATTCCCTTCACATAAATAAAGGCCACAGGTAAACAGCCTTCTAACTGGGCAGCTCCTGACATGAGACACTTGCATCCACATTCCAGCCAGCAAGGAGGCAGGCAGGCAGAAGCCGCACACACCCTGTTCTTCCTTGAAGTGCATTCTGGGGGTTGCTCACACTTCCACTCAAATCTCTTTGGCTAGAACTTACGTGGCCACATCCAGGTGCAAGGAAGCTGGAGAGGTAATCTTTATTCCAATGTCCTTGTGGCCGACCAAAGGGGACAATGGATATTGATAACTATTTCTTTCACACCCTGGTTACATCTTACATAGTTCTGAAGATACAGTAGTATTTTTCCATATGTTAGAGCTAAGAAATAATTTCCTTGTTCAATGCCTAGTTTATAAATGAGGGGCTTGAGACCTTGGTTCCTGACTTTGAGTTCAGCGTTCTAAACCCCAAAGTTACTTCAGTTTTTCATTCGCTTTCATAGTTCCAATTTTCTTCCTTAGTTCTGTGAAGTAATAACTTTGTCATGGCTGCAACATCTCTCTGGGAAGGTGGTTCGAGTGATGCTTGATTACGTTGATCAAGTTCGAATCTGTTCAAAGTTGAAAGCTGTGCTCCAAAAACAGGGGCTCTGGTCAGAAATCCATTTTATCTTAAGTGAGTATCCTTCTTCCTTGTAAAAGATTTTTACCAAAAATACTAAATGTATTCTTATTTGTTTTATAAAACATTGTCTTCTGTTTAAAAGGTTTACCTAAAGAAACCAAGGAAAATACTATTCCTATCTAAAAATTACTATTTATTACTTAACTTTGTACTTCTTACCATTTCCCAGTAGATAATATCTGCTAGGTAATCACACATAATATGTGATTCCTCCTAATCCCATAGAACACTGTACATATAGGAATTAAAAGCTATGAAATGGCAACAAAAATGGGTGAGAAAAAGTGAGGCTCTAAGCCCGCAGAGAGTATCAAATGACCCTCCCAACCACATTCTTTCAGAGTAGCACAGAAGTCTAATTAAGAATTTCTTAGATCTAATCTCCCCCTTGGTGGTGATCTTTAGTTCTTAGCCTGACCCAGAGGGACAGGACAGGGTGAGAGAGTGGTTAATACTCAAACATTTAAGAATTTCAGGTCTCACAGGCCAGACCCATAACTGATGCCAGTCTTTGGATCCTTAACTTGACATGGTTCGGAAAATCATATCTACAGGAAGGGTCGCAAGGCGAAGGGAAAAGCTGTTTCCCTTTTAACGTTTCCATTTCAACACAGCAAATGAAAATTTTGGTGGCTTAAGTATAACATACATTTGCTGATTAAACCCTAAGATCACTAGAAAAAGGAACAGTTCTTTTTCGTTTGGATAACATGTGTTTCTCTCATTTTTAGCAAACCCTCGATCCCTCAAACATTTGTGCCGCCTAAAGATCCGGAAGTGTATGGGGCGGTTACATTTGCGCTGCCCCGTCTTCATGTCATTTCTTCCATTACCAAACCGTCTAAAGGCATATATCCTTTACAAAGAATATGACCTTTATGGACAAGGAGTTTTCACAGGAACCTGGTAATCAAACTGTCTGGATGAAGAGGTACATTTCTTTGAGCTATATTTCTTAAAATTTGACTTGTTCTATAGGATTCATTATTTCTCACTTTACCTAGCAACTAAAATCTCAATGCTAGGGGCGCCTGGGTGGCTTAGTCGGTTAAGCGTCCGACTTTCGCTTAGGTCATGATCTCGCGGTTCGTGGGTTCGGGCCCCGCGTCGGGCTCTGTGCTGACTGCCAGCTCAGAGCCTGGAGCCTGTTTCAGTCTGTGATTCCCTCTCTCTCTGACCCTCCCCTGCTCACGCTGTCTCTCTCTCTCTCCTAGAAATAAATAAAACATTAAAAAAATTAAAAAAATCTCAATGCTAGTCTACACTTAATACTATCTTAATGTTTTTAATACTGCTTCTCAAGAGCATTCTGAAAGGAAGTTTAAAAAAAGAAACCCAAACTGTAAAAGTTCCATTAACAGAAATATATCAGTTCTCACTCTGTACTGATTTTACATTAAATGTATGAATCTACATTTCTACATGCTCAAAATAGATGCCACCTTCAGTAATTCAAGAGAATTCTTAACAGTAATCCTTTTTATAGAGAAGTACATACATAAAATGTCTTAGTAATTACATTGAATAAAATACTGACCCTAGTACTTGACCTACAAGTTAGCTGTTCTTGTGCAAAAGTCCCAAGGCCAGCTCAATGCCTGTTTACTGGTGGAGCCCTGCACTGAAGTGGGGTAATTTGGCTAACAATTGCAATTTCAGTTGCAATGTCATCATTAATGGGAAACATGCAGTCCTTCTTTCCACAAAATCCTGGCTAAGGGTTCCCATTTATTGGTTAATGTTATCACTGGAATAGAAATTAAAAGGGTTTTCAGATGGCTTATGACTTTCTGTACTGATTCTACTGCAGTACTAGACACATAAGAGGGACTCACTGATAGCAGCTGTATTTATTTTTTAATTATTTTCTATTAAATTTTTAAGTTTGTTTATTTTTGATAGAGACAGACAGCATAAGCAGGGGAGGGGTAGAGAGAGGGAGAGAGAGAATCACAAGCAGGCTCTACACTGTCAGCACAGAGCCCAGTGCAGGGCTCGAACTCATGAACCATGAGATCATGTCCTGAGTCGAAACCAAGAGTCAGAGGCTTAAATGATGGAGCCACCCAGGTGCCCCTTTTTAAATTATTTAAAACATTTTAATTCTAGTTGTTAACACACTGTGTTAACTTAGTTTCAGGTATACAATATAGAGATTCAACAATTCTATACATTCATTTCTCAGGGTTCATCAAAAGTGCACTGCTTAATCCCCATCACCTATTTCATGCATCTTCTCACCAACATCCCCTCTGGTAGCCATCAGTTTGTTCTCTATAGTTAAGAGTCTGTTTCTTGATTTGCCTCTCTTTCCCTATGTTCATTTGTTTTGTTTCTTAAATTCCACATATGAGTGAAATCAGATGGTATTTTTCTCTGATTTATATATTTTCTAGATGCATGTTATTTGCTTAGCATTATATTCTCTAGATGCATGTTATTGCAAATGGCAAGATTTCATTGTATATGGCTGAATAATATTCCACTGTGTATGAATACCATTTATTTTTTGTCCATTCATCTACAGTGGACACTTGGGCTGCTTCCATAATTTGGCTATTGTAAATAATGCTGCAATAAACAGGGGTGCATGTATCATTTTGAATTAGTATTTTTATCTAAGTTTTGGGAGTAATACCCAGTAGTGCAATTACTGGATATGGTAGTTCTATTTTTAACTTTTTGAGTAAACTCCATACTGTTTCCCACAGCGACTACACCAGTTTGCATTCCCACCAACAGTGTACGAGGATTCCTTGCCAACACTTGTTTCCTGTGTTTTTTAATATAGCCATTCTGACAGCCGTGAGATATCATGTTAAGGTTATTTACATTTCCCTGATGATGATGTTGAGTATCTTTTCATGTTTATTGGCCATTTGTAGGTCTTCTTTGGAAAAATGTCTGTTCATGTCTTCTGCCCATTGTTTAATTGGATTATTTGTTTCTTGGGTGTTGAGTTGCATCAATTCTTTATATTAACAACCCTTTATCAGATGTGTTATTTGCAAATATCTTCTCCCATTCATTCAGTAGGTTGGGTGCCTTTTTTGTTTTAACGATTTGTTTCCTTTGCTGTGCAGAAGCCTTTTATTTTGATGTAATCTCAATAGTATCTTTTTGATTTGATTTCCCTTGCCTCAGGAGACTTATCTAGAAAAATGTAGCCGTGGCTGATGTCAGAGACATTAATTACTACCTGTGCTCTCTTCCTGGATTTTTATAGTTTCAGGTCTCACATTTAGGTCCTTAATCCATTTTATTTGTGTATGGTGTAAAAACATGGTCCAGTTTCCCTAATACCATTTGCTGAAGAGATTTTTCCCCACTGCATATTCTTGCCTCCTTTGTCAAAGATTGAGCGGAAAAAAAGAGGTTAAATGACCATAAGATTGTGGGCATATTTCTGGGTTTTCTATTGTGTTCCATTGAGCTATGTCTATTTTTATGCCAGTAAAATTTTGATTACTACAGTTTTATAACCTAAGTTCATGAAGCCTGAAGTTGTGATTCCTCCAGTTTTTTCAGGATGGCTTCGGCTATTCAAGGTCTTTTGTAATTCCATACAAATTTTAGGTTTGCTCTAGTTCTGTGAAAAATGCTATTATTTTGATAGCAGTTGCATTAAATCTGTAGCTTGCTTTGGGTAGTATAGACATTTTAACAATATTTGTTCTTCCAACCCATAAGCATGGGATGTCTTTCCATTTCTTTGTGTCATCCTCGGTTTCCCTCATCAATGTTTTATAGTTTTCAAAGTTCAGGTCTTTCACCTCTTTGGTTAAGTTTATCCCTAGTTTATTTATTTATTTATTTATTTATTGGTGCAATTATAAATGGAAGGGGTTTTTAATAGTTTTAGTTACAATTCCAGTTAGTTTACATACAGTGTAATATTAGTTTCATGTTGTAGGATTTAGTGATTCAACCTTTCCATACAATACCCAATGCTCATTACAAGTGCACTCCTTCATCTCCATCACGTATTTAACCTATCCCTGCACCCAAGTCCCCTCTGGTAACCATCAGTTTATTCTCTACAGTTAAGAGTATGTTTCTTTGCCTCTTTTTCTTTTAATTTCACTTACTGCTGCTTCGTTATTAATGCGTAGGAATATGCAACAGATTTCTGTACATTGATTTTGCATCTTGGGACTTTACTGAATTCATTTATTAGTTCTAGTAGTCTTCTGGTGGAATTGCAGAATTCACATCTGCAAATAGTGAAAGTTTTACTTCTTTGCCAATTTGGATGCCTTTAATTTCCTTTTTGTTATCTAACTGCTGTGGCTAACTAGGACGTCTAGTACTATGTTGAATAAAAGTGAGGTGAGTAGACATCATTGTCTTGTTTTCTGACCTTGGGGAAAAGCTCTTGGTTTTTCCCCATTGAATGTGAAGTTCACTGTGGATTTTTCATACTTGGCCTTCATTATGCTGAGGTAAATTCTCTCTAGACCTACTTTGCTGAGGGTTTTTATCATGAATGGATGTTGTACTTTGTCAAATGCTTTTTCTGCATCTATTGAGATAGGATCTTTATCCTTCCTTATATCATGTTGATTGATTTCTGAATATTGAACCACTCTTGCATCCTGGGAATAAATTTTGATTATGAATAATTTTTTTAATGTATTGTTGGGTTCTCTTTGCTAGTATTTTGTTGAGGATTTCCACATCGATATCCATCAGAAATACTGGCCTGTAGTTCACTTTTTTTGGTGGTGTTTTTATCTGGTTTTGTTAGCAGTGTGATATTGACCTCATAGAATGACTTTGCAAGTTTTCCTTCCTCTTGTGTTTTTTGGAATAGTTTGAGAAGAGTAGATATTAATTCTTAAATGTTTGGTAGAATTAACCTGTGAAGCCATCTGGTCCTGGGCTTTTGTTTGAAGTTTTTATTACTAATGCAATTTCTTTGCTGGTAATTGGTCTGTTCAAATTTTCTATTTCTTTCTGCTTTAGTTTCGGTAAGTTATATTTCTAGGAATTTATTTCTTCTAAGTTATCTAATTTGTCAGCATATAACTTTTCATAATCTTCTAATTGTATTTCTGTGGTATTGGTTATTTCTTCTCGTTTATTTGGATTTTTTTAAATGAGTGTGGCTAGGGGTTTAGAGGTTTATCAATTTTGTTGATCTTTTCAAAGAACCAGTTCCTGGTTTCATTGATCTATTTTTTTGTTCCAATTCATTTATTTCTGCCCTAATCTTTATTATTTCCTTCCTTCTGCTGCTTTGGTGTTTTGTTTGTTCATCTAGCTCCTTTAGGTGTAAGGTTAGGTCGTTTTGAGATTTTTCTTCCTTTTTGAGTTAGGCCTATACTGCTATACATCTCCTTCTTAGAACTATGATAAAAGCAGTTATAGAATGTAGGTTAAATTTTTATTTCTATATATTCTATGCTGAAGGTAAATACAGGTATCTGGACATGGAAAGTGAAAAACGTGAAGAAACCTGCATTCAACCAAACCTGTGTAGCATTTTGATGGCACATCAACAAGAACAGAGTGGAGGGTAGGATGATGTAGTTCATTTTCACCACAGGCCCCGTCACCTATAGCCTTGTTATTTGTATGTTTAGTGTTTGTTAGTATACTTTTTTTTGCATAATATAGTCCATCTGAGGAAAACTGAAGTTATAGGATCTCTTTCTGATGTGGAGATTCATGGCTATATCTTCAGTAAGCAGAGATTTAGGGTTACTTTTAATGATACAATTTTCACATTAAAACTTGCAAAATTAGCTGACATGAATAATTTTTATTTTTTAAATCAAATTGTGGTGTCTGTGAGTAGTGGATTATAGATATGTCAATATACAAATAGATTTGGGATATACATGCACTTAGATAAGTTACATAATTCTAAAGTTAGTTTTATCCACTCCCTGAACCTTCCAAAAGTGTACATACACTTTATAAAATTAAAAAAAAATTAGAACAGAAACTTCCAATAGAAGAACTTGGTAAGTGCTATAGGAAAGTATAAAGAGCACACGGGATGAATATGCATGAGTATTAAAATTACAGGCCAAGCCCACTTAAGCTGGTGTATACAATAACCTGCCCCTTTAAATTATTTCTTTGAATATAGCAAGTATATATTGTCTGTAACATGTCTAGGGTAATTACTGAAAAGTCTATTTTTCTAAAAAAAAAAAAAAAAAGCCACTAGTGATGAATTAGTATCACGTCCCAATAAGTGACTGGTTTTTTTTTTTTTCATTTTAGCTGTTACGGAATTGCAGTGGGCCAAGATGTGTAATTATGGTGTCAAAACATATTAAGAAAAAGTTCATTTGCTTCATAAGCATCATTTGGAGAAATAAAATTCAGAGTATATATCAAATACTACATACAAAAAAGACTATACAAAAATCATGGACTTTATTATACTTTAAAAATTTTCTAATAGCATATTTCCTGAAGCCTTGTCAGAGAATACCTACTTTGACAAAATGAAAAAATAAGCTCTCCACCCCACACGTATACCACCATTACATAAAACCGAGTTCTTCAAATTCAATTCTAAAGGGAAATGTAGCATGATTTTTAATTGTATATATGCATGATTAATAGTGAGATAAGAATTAACCAATCCACTTAACATTACAAAATCACCAAATATACAAAGCAGTTTTGCACATTAGTTATAACTTAATCCCCAGTTCTCATATTAACTGAAGTAAATTACATGAGTACAAGCCACAAGAGACTAGTTTAAAAGTGTAGTATAGTTCCAGTTTCAGTACGTGTCATTAATGTAGAACAAAATCTCATGAAAGAAGAGTAAGCCAAACTTGCTAAAAAATAAAATGAAAGGCTTGCTTGCTACAATCAGTGTGTCTGAATATTTTTTAAATGTACAGTTTGAATCCTAGGAGGTTGTTGTCAAAACCAAGGTTAGTATTTTCATTTTATTAATTCAGGTAGCAGAAGGTTTTGCAATACATGGGATCTTAGGGTCTGTCAGCATTTAATAATAAAATTCAAATCTTAAATATTCGTAGCTCCCACACATAACTCCAAATTAATGTCAGATACCTTTACCATACAGGAATATATGTTGTGTAGAATGTTACACATACCCTACTCCCCTTTTTCCAAGCATAAAGGTAGTATCATTTTACCACCCCTAGAGTCTGAGAATTCTTTTGAAATTAAACTAGTCATTGTAGAAATGGCAAAAACAAGACTGGCCTTGGGGACTTTGTCCAATCCCTTGTTAGCAAGTCTTTAAAATTTTTAAAGGGAGAAGCAATACTTAGTTTCCTATCTACTGATTTTATTACCATAATTATAAAAGTACTGTTTGTATAGGTAGCAGAGTGTATAGCTGAATTAGGTAGACTTAGTTTCTTTTAAAGGATCAGTTTTATTAATTTTTAAAACCATCAAGTTAAGAATGAATCTGAGAAAGCTATCCCAAATTCTAATTCAATTACCACCAAAGCATCCAAGAGCCAGAAGGGATTTCAAAGGGTAACAGACCAAGATCAGCTTAACATTATGCAGAAACCCACAGGCAGCCTTCTTCAAACAAAAAAGGAGAGTTTCTTAAAGTTGATGCTTAAAATATCTGCAGTATGGACTAGTTCATATAGTTCTAAAGTAATGGAACAAAAGTTGAAATATCTAAAATTGCTAATCCGACATAATGACTTGTATTTGGTGTTGGAATGCTCTTTGGTCTGATCTGTGGACACAGGCGTGTTATTAAGGAAATTCCTATCAAAACATGACTTAAAAGGAACTACAGGTCAGTCAGCATCCCTAAGCCCGCCAGAGCCTTTAACCCTAGCCTTCACTTTGACCCAGAATACTAACAAAGGGCAGCACTTAGTTACCATGCAAAGTGCCAGCCTCATAAAACTGCCCCTAATGCTGACCACCTTCGTCATAGGGTGACAAGTTTCATCTGAACAAGTGAGGTGACAACTAAATAGTATAAACAAAAGATTTAATGAAACAGAGTTTACTAATTCTCAGAAAGGCCTTAAAAGCTGGACCTGCCATGGCTAATCAAGTGTTGACCATGGAAATTACGACTTCAAAGGAATGATACACAAACTATCAAGAAAGCATTCCTATTGAGTAAGCACAAAATCAACTGTCTTCAGAAAGTATTCTGTAAATTTTTGCTTTTTTACTATGTTTTGGTAACATAAGGCTTCAAAATAATGATTATCAAGTAATCATTATTCCCATTTGGCACATGGATAAAAATAATATCATCCTATACATAATTATCCCAGTCCACAGAGAACAGTGTGTATACCGTGTGAAACAGCCACACTATATTGTGAGAGCTAAAACAGATGCTGTTTCTAAATTCAGGAGCAACAAGACTATATCAAAAAACAAAGGGCTCTCTCCCTTATAAAATTAGTCTTAGTGGCTGGCTTATCTCTTGAAAATTTTAGATATGTGACTATTTAATTCAATGTATTTAACATGTCTATATATAGTTTTACATGTGAAACAAAGGAACATAATCTTTATCAGCAATTGTTAAAATAAAGAAAGAAAAATCAAGTTTTGACATAGAAGGAGGAAGAGGGAAATATTATTTAACCTTGGCACCAGGCTAAAATCTTTCCTTGGTCAACTCTCTTATACCAAACAGACCTTTTAAGCATTTGAAGAGTAGAAGTATGTACAATAATTAGTGCAAATTATTCTATTCTCATATATTAGTTATTTGCCTTTATGGATATAAAGTGGTGATCAGTATTTATCAAAACATGGAATTATGAAAATACTGTGCATATCAGTCTGAAATTTAAAAGATTACATTTTCTAAACTAAACTCTGGGCATTTTTACTTTAAGCAGGCATCAACTGTTACAGAATTTCTTTTGAAATGCCACTTGATTTTCAATAAAAATTTCAGCAATGCAGAAAATATGATGTATTATTGTGTAACATTATCTTTACATTTTAAGTCCTAATCTAAAATGTACTTAAACAAAAAAAAAAGTCCCTTTTAATAAATTCCAAAATCTTATTTTAACCATTACTGCTCTGCAGCAATAATTCAAGTTCCAACCTGAGAACTAAGAAATATGATCATTAAATGCCAAGGGCTGTATCAATCCTGAACTGAAGACACTTAAGCTTCTTTCCCACTGGCATCAGGTGTCACATGTCAAAGAAATGTGAGCAATCCTAGAAAGTGCCCTGAAATCACAGTACCACCTGCCACAATTTGAAACCTTAATTCTAAAATCTTTTTTCTAATTATTTTATAAAAGTTCTATTGCACATTTAATAGTTAAAATATTTGCAATCTTGTAGAATTCTCTGTATAAAGGGTTTTGAACTGATTCAGTTGAAAGCTTCCTCACTGATAGCAAAAATGTTCCTAATGAGAAGAGGAAGCAGATCCATGAATATCTGAAGAATAAATGGTTTCTTATGGTCATAGCCAATTACAATGCAAGGTAAGTTCACAATATGAAGGAAAAAAGGCTTGGGTGTTAATTCCTCAGCAATCTACTTCAAGGAGATGAACAGGTTTCTTTTAGACATGTGGAATTGGATGTTACTGCATAGTATATTATTTTTAAGGAAAAAAAGCAATGCAAACCTAAGTAGTCAAGGTCAATCTTATTTTTAAAAATGAAGTTAAAACAAGTAAATATAAACTTTAGTCTCGTTGGTATTTCAACATAGTTGTTACCTTGTGCCATTTCACCACAGAAACCGTCAATAAATTCCAAGGGGGGGGGGGTAATACCAACCAGAAAGCAAGGAAAAGTTCATGCTTCTGACTCTCTTTTCTTTCCTTCTTCTCCCAAATCACTCTCTTCTGACTGGCTACTGCTAAGGACAACAAACTGCCCCTCACTACTGGCTTGGTTGGGTCTACTGGAAGCAGCTATCAATCGACTTTGTTCTTCTAAGTCCTAGAAGAAAAGACAGAAAAGAAACTAACTTTATTGTTTGCAATCAAATGCAAAACTATGTATTTAAAACATATACTTGAGAGCTGCTTCAATCTTTGTCATGAGCATGTATGCATAATTCTGGCAACTAACTGAAAACAAAGTCTACACACAACCAGTGCAACAACAAAGTGACTTTTTGCACCATTTTAGAAATCCTGTAAAGCCAACATTTCCCTCTTCTCTATTTTTATGGCTAACAACACTCAGACCATCATTATCTTTCACTATATACCACACTAAAAGGCTCATAATGGATCACTCCACATCCCTTCTCTTCCCCCTCTCTGTCCAACTTACCTTACTAAATCAACTGCTGATCTCCTCAGCTTAACCTAGCAAGAAAGTCTCAACTTCAGGGCCATCATCACATCCCTCTCCTTTCTCCCTAAGTCCAATCCATTCCCAGTTCCTGCTGATCTGTGCTCATCAAGTATCCCACAAATGTCTCTTTTCTACTGCCACAACCGGGCCTGACAATCTCTTGTATCACCATCTAATTCATTCTCCAGATTTTGCTCTGAAACTTACTTAACTTAAAAATTATCCTGTTGGATGGACAATGATTTGACACTCGTGGTAACATTATTTATATAAACAGATGTTCATTCCTGGAGGCCAATACAGCTTTCAGCAATGGCAGTTAAGTCTGTATACACACACACAGCCTCTCAAAAGACCTGCTTTGATAGAAACAACCTTCACTGGAATATGGAAATATAAGTTCTGGTATGTTTGCTAAACAGCAAGTCAAGTACACATCGGTAACTATAATGTAAACATCCTGTCAGAAGACAGAGGTCTTCCTTTTCTGCTGCGCTATGCATCATCTGATTATGAAGTGGCTGAGGAAGCAGAAACAGACTTTCATTTGGAAATTCAAAGCTGGAAGTCACAGTGCTAAAATAAGGAAACTTCATAAACATCACATCAAAAAAGATCTAGATACTAGGACTACATACCTTTTCGATTTGTTTTTGTTTACTGAGTTCTTTCTGTTGTTTCTCTTTTACTCTCTCTATTTCCTTTTGTTTTTCTGATGCCCTACGATCCTAAAAAAAGATAAATACAACTAATGAATTAAATGAAACAACTTTAAACTTTTCAATTAATATGGTCTTTGTAACCTTTTCATATTTTTTATATTTATATGAAAGCACACTAAAAATAATTTACATTCTTAGTCATTTATCCAAATTATAAATACTGCATCAGCAATAGTATCCATTGATAACTTTGCATAGCAAAATCATTTTATTTGCTAATATGAAAGAACTTTTTTACTTTAGATAACATTCTTAGATCATCAAATAGTATCTTAGATTC